TAGGACAAGCAGTTAGGGATTTGCAAAAACATGTAATGATACCACTTTCCTCATTAAATTTTTATTTTGTTTTGTAAACTTTTTGTATTTTACAAAAAAAAGTTAACGTATAATGGATTTATTATTGTCATTTTTAATTAATGAATGTTTTCAAATGTTCTTAAGTTTAATTTCAAATATGAAAAAAATCAATGCATATAACCAATATCAACAAAAACTCTTTAGAAGTCCTCAATAATTTTTAAAGTAAAGAAACCAAAACCCAGAAGTTTGGGAATTGTTGACCTGTCCTATTCTGGCTGATGTAGTGAGTTCCCCCAGGAGTAGCTTGCTGGAACTCATTAAACCCTGTTATTTGTGGAGCTCTCTAGATAGAAAACTATAACTTTCAAAGTATAGTTAGAGCCAATAATATGATTTACTTACTTAACAGAATGAGATGGGACTTTTCATGCTATGTAACAAAAGACTGGTTGTTGCCCAATAAAACTACTATAATAATTGGTTTATATCTAGTCAACCATCTCTTTGGTAGAGTTGGACTGAGTTTATTTTCCTCTTTATTCTGTAAAAGAGAATAAATGCAATTTATTGCAGTAAGTATGGACATATACAAGCTAAACTATAAGTCAGCCTACACATGTACAATGTGTCCAATTTACAGGGAAAAGGTAACAGGAGGTCTTGTAAGATGAGAAAGTTTCAAATCACACTTTTGATATCCACACACATCCTGGTGCAACACACCATCCCAAAGCAGAAAATCTGAATTTAAAATATGTGGGCCCATTATCTCTCTTCCAGGCCAGCAATTTCTACATCAATTTACTCTTACTGGCATCATGGTTCATAAATGGGTTTTCCATTGTTTCAGTTGTTAATGTGCGTTCCTTCAACTGGATCATAAGCTCCTTAAGAGTAACAATAATACCTTCTATTGAACTTGCCCCTGTCCCCACCCAGTGACTCCACCTAGTGCTCCACGTGAGCCTGGGACTCCATAAATGCCAGCAGATTAAGTAAAACAAGATAACATCTTTTAACTTGAGATCTCTTGGCAGGTAATAAAATAAATAACTGGTTAGTGGGGAGAGGTTTATTTTTCCTGTTAACTTAAATATGCCCATCACTATAAAATCAATATTCTATGAAATATCAAATGGTCATTTAAGGCAAAAATAAACAGAAGGACGTGTGCTATTGAAGGACATGTGTGCTAGACGTGTGTCCTCTGTCCCACATAATTCCTGGATGGGCTCTGCTCTATCCCAACTCCCCTTCAGGGAAATTTTCATTTAAATATATTCCTCCTTTCTATGTTATCCAGTTGTAGAAACTCCTAAAGGAGTTTATTAGCTTAAATCATAAAATATTTCTTCTATAGTTATCAAGTCACCAGATTTTGTAGAAATCCATGTCAAATTTGTGGAAAAACACCTTTTCTATTTAGAGGAACCAATCTAAAAAAACTTTTATGAGGGCCGGGCGCGGTGGCTCAAGCCTGTAATCCCAGCACTTTGGGAGGCCGAGGCGGGTGGATCACGAGGTCAAGAGATCGAGACCATCCTGGTCAACATGGTGAAACCCCGTCTCTACTAAAAATACAAAAAATTAGCTGGGCATGGTGGCGCGTGCCTGTAGTCCCAGCTACTCAGGAGGCTGAGGCAGGAGAATTGCTTGAACCCAGGAGGCGGAGGTTGCGGTGAGCCGAGATCGCGCCATTGCACTCCAGCCTGGGTAACAAGAGCAAAACTCCGTCTCCCCCCCAAAAAAAAAACAAAAAACAAAAAACAAAACACTTTTATGAGTATGTGTTTATATATATAATGTGTATTGTTTATAGGCATTATCTAAGCTGTATACATTATCCCATCTGATCTTCCCAACTAACTTGTAAGATAATTATTATGCTTAACCCTATTTTAAAACAAGCACTGTCAAGGGAAGAGATGTGTCCAAGAACACGTATCTAGTAATGGAAAGCAAATTCAAGTCCAGAATCAATTCCAGAGTCACAGTACTTTAAAACTGTTAAGATATGAACCTGATAGAAAGGTTTATTTTTATTCTTCTAATAAAGATGATAGTATTATTTCCCTAAAATGACTTCTAAATTGTATTATACAGACAAACCAATTGTTTTTCCACAGCTTGAGAGAATGAGAGCATAGGTGAGTATTTCTAGTGTAAATATAGGCAATTGGAATTTTTACAGATATTCCTGAGGAAAATCACTCTTTCTGAACTTCAAAATGTTTATTTTTCATTTGATTCTTTATTGTGTCCCTTAATTGAATTTTCCTTTATAAAAAAAATATCCATTTATAAATTTGAACAAAGTCTAAGTGTTAACTAAAGTAGATTGCCTTGGAAATAACCTAGAGATACTTCTTTAAATTAAAAAAAAAAAAAAAGGAGTATTATGGTAACACTTAAGATTTCAAATACGTTGGTCGGTAGTGATTTTTAATAAAATAGTTAATCCATTTGTATTTTCAGTAGCTATTATAATAAATAATTAATGAGCCTTTCATTTGGATTTTCTTGTGAATTTTTTTATATACTTTAAGTTCTGGGATGCATGTGCAGAATGTGCAGGTTTGTTACATAGGTATACATGTGCCATGGCAGTTGCTGCACCCATCAGTCCAAATCTCAGTTTTAAGCCTCTGGTGAATAGTTAACTAGAGTTTGTTTCTCATAAAAATTCTCTTAAAAATCAGTTTAAAACCTCTACCCCTAATCTAGAATGCAGAGTAATTTAAAGTTAAAAGTAAACATTAAGCTCTACACCATGAGTAATAAAAGTAATCGACTAAAAATTATTATTTATGCTTGGTTTTTAATAGCAATAATCATAAAAGTATACATTTCCCTCCTTCTTTACAAAATTTGATATAAAAAGTGGTAAACACTCAAACTCCTTACAAGAGTTCAGAAAGCCAGAATGGTAGTGGGAGATGAGGACAGGCAGGTTAGACGACGCAGCATTCCAAAACCGCTATTACTCACCCTTTTCCTCGAGAGGTTTGAAATCGTACCTCAAGTTACTACACATGTCCAATGATTGTCAGGGTACTCTAATGCTTATCTGGCAGGAACATGTAAATCAAAGAAATCTAGCAGTACAAATGTTATTTTCTCAGTATCTCAAAATTCGTAGTACAATATTTCCTTGACATGACTTCATTTCTTTCAACAACGCTTTCCCCTGGTCCCTCCACGTGTTTGGGATGGTTGCTCTTGGGCCTTCCCAAGAAGTCTCTTAGTCTAGGAACCTCCTATATTAACCCATTTTCACATCCTAAAAGATGTCTTACTTGTTTGAGTGACCTGTATAACCTCAGCCACATTTATATGTATATGAAAACCATAAAGAATCCTACTAGACTCTTGATAGTTACAGATTTATCATTCACAGTTTTCCCCCACTAAAGCCTCCATAAAGACAAGGATCTTGTCTTATTGATCAGATGCTCAACATTTGTTGAATAAATTAAGCAGATGACAAGAGAATGAACTCAATGGCCTACAATGTGCAGTCTACAATGCCAGGTATAGATTTGAATTCAGCAGAAGGTGAGGTTGGTCTGCAGGAGAGTCAGCAAGTTACTGAATTAGCTTAGGAGACGACTTGGGTAAATAGTTTTCTGTGGTGGTATTGTGAATTTTAGAATTCTCAAAGATCTCTTCTCCAGCTTTGGTGAAATTTAAGGGTCTATCTTATACAACGCTTCCTTATGGACACAGCATAGTGCAGGAGTGAGGGCAGGGACTTTATAGCCAGATTCAGTTCAAGCCTCAGTCTTGGCACTTACCAGCTATATGACCTTGGGAATATAAATATCACTCACTTTCCAAAATTATAAGGCTTAAAGAAGACAGTATATGTAAAGACCTTAACACAAAGCCAAACATAGATGCTCAATTGTTATTTATTTTTATTATAAAATTTCTAAGTGATCTCCAGGACTGTCAAACTGGACCTCTAATTTAAGATAAATACATTAGTTAATATAAGAATAAGACAATGTCTGAAGAAGAGTTAATTAGGTTTAGAATTCAATTTAGAAGAAATGCTTTATATTACAGGAAGAAAGTGGAGCTGCTAGAGATTACAATATAAACATCTATAATTGACAGTCAGTTATGTGGAGATTTTAGCACTAGTTTTGATTAAGCTTCTGTGCTGTGAGACTCAAACTCAGTAAAAGCCATCAGGAATCAGATACGTACACTTCAGCATGTTGAAAAGAAGAGATATCACTTACCATTGGTGCCTGCATAACCAGCATAACTTCAAAGCAGAGTCTGTTTATTTTTATTTTGAAAGCATTTAAATAATCCACGACAATGAATTAACTACCTCCAGCTTAAACCAGAATTTTGAGAATTTTGTTTGCTTACATTTAAAGATAGGCACAGAAGTTTTCTTAAATTGTAGTTCAATTCTTCTTTTCAAGTTCAATTATCATGGGTGGCAGCATTCTCAGCACAAAGTATTTTATTGACTTTATCAATGAGCAGCATTTTGTTGAAACAAATTAAGCTTCATATTTAAAGAGTCAAATCCTAGAGTATGTCGAGCATTTCTAAGAAATTTAAGTGAGTCTGCCATTCATAGCCATCCTGTGTTTTAAATTCAATGCCTATGAAGGTAAGCTATGGAGAAATGACTTTCCTTTTTTTTTTTTTTTTTTTTTTTTTTTTTTGAGATGGAGTCTCACTTTGTCAAACAAGCTGAAGTGCAGTGATCTGATCTCGCTCAGGCAACTTCTGTCTCCCAAGCTCAAGCAATTCTCCTGCCTCAGCCTCCTGAGTAGCTGGGACTGCAGGTGCACACCATCATGCCCAGCTAATTTTTGTATTTTTAGTAGAGATGGGTTTCATGCTGAAGCAGGCTGGTTTTGAACTCCTGACCTCAAGTGATTCACCCACCTTGGCCTCCCAAAGTGATGGGATTACCAACGTGAGCCACCATGCATGACCAAAATGACCTTCTCAAAATCAATTTTTTAACTGTTTCTATGAGACAGGGAGAAGCATAAGGAAAATGTAAATATCTCTAGACATAGTTACATGAAGTACCAACAATAAGAAGTAGTAGATCTTCTTAAGTGGGAATCATGGAGGGAAAGTTCTCAGTCTTACCATTGAACTGATAACCATGCCCAATGGCACTTTCTAGCTCTGATCTAATTTGTCTTGCCTATTGCATGTTATATTATTTATCTTTCTTCAAATTCTCTCCTATTCCACAGCAATCCTCTTGAAGTTTACCTCCTATTTCTTCAGCCATTTCTTCTCATTTTCATGGATTATTCTCTTTTAAGTTTTCATCCTCAACCTCTACTCCATTCTCAAGTTACTCCAAGCAAGGTGAGGGGACCATCTGCAACAAAACAACATCTTTAATGCTTGTTAAAATCCAGACTGCTTGTTAAAATCCAGACTCCTAGGCCCATTTCCACTCTCCTGAGTTAAAATCTCTAGGTATGGAAGAGAGTAAATTGTTTCCTGTGGTGGCACTGTGAACCTGAGAATTCTCAAAGGCCTCGTTATGTGTTCTCTGTGAAATGCAGGGGTCTATTTTATATAATGCTTGTATTTGAGGCAACATGGTACAGGAGAAAGGGCAGAGACTTTACAGCCAGATTGCTTGGGTTCATATTTCAGTTTCGGTATTTAATAACTTTGTGACCCTGGGAAATAAACATCACCCACTTTCTGAGATGGTGAGGTTTAAGAGATAACATATGTAAAGGGCTTCACACAATGCTATACATAGTAGGTGCATTTTTAACAAGTTTCTTGGCGATTCTAATACAGACCAAAGCTAGAGAATCACTGGGTGACATCATCCATTGCCAGGGTTTCAAATTCACGTTTAGGATGATTATAGAAAACTCTCCAGTGGCTTCCGATTGTATAAGGTCCTACATCACCTCATCCTTGCTTTCCTTTCCTGCCTCCTCTCTTGCCTTCCTTTCTACTACAAACCAGTTGTACAGAAATTTCTAACAGTATTCTGTTTTGGATCTCAGCTTTCCTACTGACTCTTCATTCTTCCTAAAATAACTTTCCTCTGTAGGTTCCTTTGCCAGACTCATCCAGTTCATCTTGTAAGTCTCAGCCTAGATGTCAGCTCCCTCCCAGATCACCAGGTCTCGGTTTGGTGCTTCTCCTGTGAGTTCCCATAGCATCTGAACCTCCTGTATCATTTCATGTATCACATTTTATTGTACTTGCTTGGTTATTTGTTTCTATCCTGTATAAGCTATTTCCAGTTCCATGTTATGGCATTTAATACATGCCTCATCAATAGGTGCTTTACTAATGTCAATTGATGAATAAATGAATGAATGAACAATTCACAGAGATAGGCTTCCTGATCAGATCTTTTCCCTAAGCCTTCATATCAAACTGGACTTGTGAAAAACTAAATTCCTTATCTTACCCCAGCAAAATGGTTCCTTCCCCCCTCTGTTCTTTTTAGTGAAATACATAAAAATTTGCCCAATTTCTAAAACCAGACAGTTGAGGATTATCCAAGGCTGCCCTGCCTCCCTTATCCCCATATCCAATCTGTTATATTGCACATTAGCAATAGCCTAGCTCAGGAGATTTTTCCAGAGTGTGATTATTGAGTTTTGATTCAAGAGGGTATTTTGACTGCACATGTTTACCTTCCCTCTTTACTAAAAATTCATTGAAAAAGAAATACAAAAGGGAATAAATTTATAACAGTGCTGAGAACAAGAAGACCAGAGAGCCTGATGACTTTCTGTAACATGAGCAGCAGGTAGAAGCTATCATATCAATAGGCAAACAAAAGTGGGAGCCTCCATTTCAAACAAACATAGGAGAAGGCGCTAACAGAAAGAAAAGCACTGTTCCTGGCCGTGAAGCCACAGGAACAGGTACAAAGATTGGGGGTGGATAAGGAAGGTGACTGAAAGACTGTCCATAGGCAGTGTTACAAACCTCAGCTGATCACAAGATTAACCTGGAGTTTTTGTTAAACAGAGAGAATCTCTTAACTTATCCCTGAGGACTCTCATTCAGTGAGTCTGGCAATATGACGCAGGAAGTTGGATTTTTAGCAAGGGTCCCATATGATTTTTATAGCAAACAAGTTTGGGAAATATTGGAATATGGACAGCTCCTTCTTCAGGAACCCCATTCCTGCCTCTCCCACACAGATTGATATGGCATACAGAATTGGAATTTGCCCCACATTCTGTGCTTTAAATCAGATAATTAACTTCCAAAGAGATGTCGAAATCATCTGGGATAACTAACAGAGATAGTAGCACCCCCAGATAAGGCTGTCCACATTCTGGCATTTGGGAATGTCAGACTCTTTCCTGCCTGAGCATCTGAAAATGAGTCCTGCCAGTCTGTATGCCCAACTACACACAGACCTAGGGTGGGCTGCTTCCCAGGGTCCCTGAGCTGTGATGCAAATGGGGCATGCAGGGGATCTCCTTCCACTCAGGAAAGTGCCTTATTAGGAAAAACAGATAGGGAGTCAGTCATATTAATTCCCCAGACCTTCAGGTATACATGTAAATGAAAACCTAAACTCGCCAAACATTAGAGGAAAAACTTACAGCATCAAAGAGAGAAAAAACTGAACAAATAGAATCTAACAAACTTTACAAAACAAAAAGCAGAGATGTGATGGATGCTGAGATGAACCACGCAGAACCCTCTTCAGAAACTGACTTATTCTCCAGTTGCTGGGAGAGCTATCTCCAGAAAGCCATAAGGGAATTGCATTGGCTGAAGATAGCCACCTCATCCAAGATCATACTCCGTCCCGATGGCTACCATATCCAGTGATTGATAAACATGGATATATCATGTCCTGGCCTCTTTATTCCAATGTGGAGAAACACTGAAGAGTCATCCCTGCAGGATAGTTCTCTAGGTGGCCGTGGATTAACTCTGTTCTCCCCTATTTCTTGCTAAAGAGTAAGCATAAAATGTGCTGGAATGCAACATCCTGAGATGGGTGTGGAGAGAAGCTGTCCAGAACAGCCTGGGCTCTGTCCCTATCTTCTACTAGAACAGGATGTCCTTCAATACTTTAGCCCAGTGATCATGTGATCCTGAGACCTAGGGTGGGCTACTTCCCAGGGTCCCTGAGCTATGACGCAGGGGATCTCCTTGCGTCCCAAGTAGCTTTCTGAGCTTTGGGGGACCAACTCATAATGAATCCCAGGCTTCTGTTGTCCCTTGCTGCCTATCTGTCAGTAATAAACTTGCTTCATGTAACTTGCTGCACATGAATATGTTCTCTGTCACCAGACAGAGACAAATTGGTAATCAGAGCACAGTGAACCTGCTTCACAATCCCAGCTTCAGAACTCCCCAAAGTTTGGATGAAAACTCCACTAAGATTGCACTGCAACTCAACTTTTCCCTCTGCTCAATCATGAATCCTTTTCTTCTCTTCCCTTCCTCAGGTGTTGATCCCAAGGATACTTCCTAATAAGGCTCCTGCATGCTAATCTGGAACAAGACAATATTCAGTAAAGAGAAGAAAATATTTTTTAAAAAAACTTCAGGGAGATTGAGATAACACATGTATAAAACAAAAACATGCAACTATGGAAAAGATGAGAAGAAAAATAAAGAAGTTTTAGAAATTTATAGTATGATATTTGAAATAAAGAACTTAATTTAAAAAAACAGAACCAAGTTGAGAATACATCACAAAGAGAATAGTAAAAAATAGATGATAAATATAAGGAAAACTTAAGAAATACAGAGGGTTACTTTAGGAGGTCTAATATTCATACAACTAAGTAAGTCTGAAAATAATTTTTTTAAAGAAAGGAAGAGAAATAATCATGAAACAAGTAGAACAAAATATTCAGAGGTGGAGAAGGGTCGCCTCTAGATCAAATGTACCACAACATGATAAGCAGAATGAGTTTTAAAAAGGTCTACAACTGGACATTTTTTCCAAAATTTCTGAACAACAAGATTTCAAGATAGTTTTGTAAAAACTCCCAGTATGAAAGAATAGAAGTTTAAAAGAAATATAAATGAGAATGGCACCTCATTACTGATGCTGGAAGAAAATGACACACTGTTGGTAAGGGTGTTTTTCTTCTGGAAGTTTTGAATACAAGCAGAATCTGTCTTCCTATCTTTTACCTTTTTCAGCTTCTAGGAGCAGCCACTCAACGTTTCTTAGCTTGGGTTCCTTCCTTACATCACTTCAACTCCTTGCTTCCATTGTCACAACTACCAGTGACTCTGATCCTCTTGTTACTCTCTTATAAGAACACTTATGATTACATTGGATCCACCAGATAATCCAGGATAATTAATGTATCATATTTGTGAAGTCACTTTTACCATATAAGGTCACATATTCACATGTTCCAGAGATTGGGACATACACATTCTTGAGCCCATCACAGTCCCATTCTAACATCCTGTTTTCCATGTGTTAGTTTTATTTAGAAAAAGTTTAATGTGATACTTATTAGTCTGTCACTTAATTTTAATTTATTCAACTCTCCTAAGTGGCTTCAAACAGTCAATAACTCCTTTCTGCCACTGTCTTTGTTCAGTCTTTTTTCACTTTTGGCCTAAAACTGTATCAGTGGTGGGCTGTTTGGGTCTCTCACCTAGTCCATACTCCTTCCTCCAGCATGGTTATGGGAGTGAATTTCCCAAAAAGCAAGCCAATTTGCTCCTCCCCTATATAAAATAAAATGTATCCTCATGGCCTTCAGAATAAATTATATATCCATTTGTGTTTGCCCACTGGCTACCTCTCTCCTCCCTCATCCACTACCAGTTCCCAAACCGTGTGCTTTATACGCTTTCCTGGATGGACCACATTCTCTCATTTCTTTTCTAGCACTTCTTTTTTTTTTTTCTGGAAGTCCCATCCCCGTCCTCAGTCTGACCTCCTTCCAAGTGTCCCTCAAGACTCAGTTCATTAACACTTCATGTCTTCTTGTAAGCCTCACCTGACCACATTCCCGGCTCTTCACCTCTCTCCTAACTTCTCTCCTTCAGACTTCTTCATGATACTGAAAGACCTTCGACTGCAGGCTGCATGTCTCTGTATTATAAGCGTTGGTTTATTTGTCTGTCATTATAAATTGTCTGTGGAGATTCTTTGAGGACACTGACAATGTAATCTATTTCTATGTCATGGCAGAAGGGCTGGCACACCCTCAAAAAAGCATTTCTTGGGTGAATGAATAAACTATGATATGCTTTGGCCAATCGCCTTTTTAAAGCTGTTTCTCACAATCCATTCTTTACATCTATCTAGAGTTTTCCCAGATATCTGTTTTCCCAGATATCCCATATAAGGACTAACTTTTATGCACACACACACAAACACACACCACTCCCTAC